TTTAAACAAACATATAAGGATACTATGGATCCTAAACTAAAAAACATTTTTTGATAGCTCGTTGGTGTTTGATTGAGAGCTATCGGTTCTTTGTTTACATCTTTTTTGTTTATGGATTTTAAAGAAAACGAAAAATCTGCCAAGAGTGATATCTAACGGGGAGAACATTTATTTAGTGGCATTTAATTCTTCAGTACAAGTAGAGGAGACGTTTATTTCAAGTACACAATTGATAACTTGATCATGGGGATTTTGCAGTCTTTTGGGGTTAGCTCGGAGGGAGAGGGAGAAAACCACCCCACCCGAAAGGACCCCCCAATAGGCCACCAATCCCTAGGCCGAGCAGCTGTGGACTATTGACCTCATCGTCTTCCTTCACACCCAAACCTCTGCCTCCTTCACTACCAGCAACCATTCCCAGAACCAACACACTTAAAATGAGTAAAGCTCTTAATGTTTTCCTCTCCATTGCCAGTTTTTTTTGCATGAAGAGAGTTGGTTCAGTTCTGCCCTGTATATATATCGGGAGTTGGTGAGAAGGGTATGTTTTCTTTTCCTTGTTTGGGACTGACACACAAATTGGTTCGTGGAAGAAGAAATCTGATTTTGAGCTAAACAGCAAAATAATATGGTGGTTCTCCATGGCGAGTTACCATCATAATTAATATTGCCACTGCCCGTAGTTTCTTTTAAATGTTTTCTTGGCAAGTTCTTCTGATGCTCACATATGGAACGTTTACCGATGATCTCTCTGAATTCAATGGGTTTACCAGTTGCTTTTAAATTGAACATTGCCAATTTCTGTGAAGATTATTATTTTGTTGCATTTTGAAAAGAAAATACAGGCTAGAAATAGTAGAGAAATTGAGCAAAAAATTTCTGCTGGCCTAGCTAGAAGACTGAGAAGTGGGATGGTAAATATACAATGAGAACAGAAAGGCATAGAATTGCATGTCTTTGTAACGAGGTAGGTGATTAATCTGTTGGAGATCGAGATCAGATTGTCAAAGTATGCCAGGCTTGTAAATATGGAACAACAGAGGTGGCAAAAAATTATTTTCAAGCGTGCACATTTAATTTTTCACTAAATAGAATAGACCATTCACGAACAATCATCATACACATTGACTTCAGTTTTAACAGACTCTACTCCACGCCATCAAATAAAACAGTTGATTCGTAGAATTCTGAAGGAGATAATTTCCTTATCAGAAAGACAACTCCTGATTATCTACAATGTGATTCATCATATCCATCACCCAAACAGCACCAAATTCTGCAACCCGAACCACTTACCCTATATTAATCTTAAATATCAGAAATACATATTGAACATGAAGCCTCTGAAAGAGAACTACAACAAAAGATTCACTAAGT